TGGTGCATGCCTTTAATCCCAGCACTCGGGAGGCAGAGGCAGGCGGATCTCTGTGAGTTCGAGGCCAGCCTGGTCTACAGAGCGAGTGCCAGGACAGTCTCCAAAGCTATACAGAGAAACCCTGTCTCATTTGTGATAGGTAGGGTTTTAGTTGGGGGTGGGGGTAGGGTAGGGTTCCAACTCTTCGATAAGCTCTGGTTGTAAAATTTTGAAGACATTCTTGACCCTGTGGATTGGTAATGTCCCAACCATCAGCTTCACACAGCACAGCTCCAGGGAATGTCTTCTCTCCTCCACCCACTCCAACAGCTGTGCCTGGCATTGATCCAGGGATTGACATGTAAAACAATCTTGTTTCTAATTCAAATTAAAAAAGAATAAACAAACAAACAAAAAAACAAAAAAAGAAACCCTGTCTCAAAAAAACTAAAATCAAACAAACAAACAAAAATTTCCTAGGGTGCTACATTTCTATCAGTCACCGTGTGATGGAAAAATGCCTTTCCATTTGATGATGATTCCAAAGGTGGTGAAATAATATTCAGACATTATAGCAAAATTACAGATAAAATTGTTTTTCTTTCTTTTTTTTTTTTTTTTTTTGTCAAGACAGGGTTTCTCTTTAGCCAAGAGGTGGTGGCCCACACCTTTAATCCCAGCACTTGGGAGGCAGAGGCAGGCGGATCTCTGTGAGTTTGAGCCCAACTTTTTCTACAAGTGAGTTCTAGGACAGCCAGTGCTACACAGAGAAACCCTGTCTTGAAAAACTAAAAAAGCTGAAGAGGTGACCCAGTTGTTAAGATATATAACATAAGATATGAATATATAAAATAAAATATAAATATAAGGGAATTATAAATATTCACTAAACCAGAGGACCCTGATTCAATTCCTAGTACCCACATGGAGGATCTTAACTATCTGCAACTCCAGTGCCAGCAGATCTGATACCCTATTCTGGTTTCCCTGGCCATCAGGCACACACATAATGCACAGCCTTACCTGTAGGCAAAACATCCAAACACATTTAAAAAAAAAAATGTCTTTCTTTAGGGAATCTAGGCTTTGAAGAAGTATTCAATTGTATTATTTTCAGAACCAGAACATATCAAGAAGTCTTTCCTGGCAGTCACCTTTAATCCAACACTCAGGAGGCAAGGCAGATGGATCTCTGAGTTTGAGGCAGCATTGTCTACAGATGGAGTTCCTGGACAAGCAAAGACTACACACTGAGACACCTGTCTCAAAAAACAAATCAACAAGCAAACAAAAAAAGGCCACTCCTATTTTCTGTTTATTCGCTGGCATTGTTTTTGCTGCAGGACTGGCTGTAGATTGTGCTTACTCCAGCCGCAGGGACACATGTCAGTTTTGCCTCCTATCTATAGACATTAGTGCACACATGTTGATAATGTCCCCATCATTTTTACAGGCTGTTATACAATTTGCTTTGTTTCACTTCAGAGTGTATCAGATTGTTTTTCACATCGCTACATTAAAAAATGTTCACTCGTTTTCCTTTTTTTTTTTTTTTTTTAAGATTTTATTTATTTATTATGTATACAACATTCTGCTTCCATGTACATCTGCACACCAGAAGAGGGCACCAGATCTCATAACGGATGGTTGTGAGCCACCATATGGTTGCTGGGAATTGAACTCAGGACCTCTGGAAGAGCAGTCAGTGCTCTTAACCACTGAGCCATCTCTCCAGCCCCTCGTTTTCCTTTTGTGTGGTTGCTATATGATAGGACATTGGGTGGACATATCTACTTACTCCCTTTCTAGCGGTAATCAAGATTTTTTAGTTTAATTTTTTTTTCTTTTTATTTCAACATATACTTATCAAGGGCATAGATAATTATAAGAAAGTGATTTCAAATGTTTCCTGTACTAGTCGACAAACATCAATAAAAACATTCAGAAAACTAGTGAAATGAGGATGTTGAATTCTTTTCATTGGCTAAATATCTAAGCTAGTAATAAGGCTGGCAACATTTAAAAAACTGCTGGAATGTCTTTTCTCATCTTTTGTTTAGTGAATATTCATACTTCCCTTAGATTTATATTTTATTTTATGTATTTAGACCTTAAGTTATATTTTAGTTTAGTTTCTCAGCCTTGGCCACACTTTAAAATTACCTGTGAAGGAGCATTGTGTGGTGCTGTGTACCTTTGATGCTTGCAGAAGGTCTTCAAGGCTAGCCCAGACTACATAGCTAGTTCCAGGCCAGTCAGGAGGTCAGCCTTGTCTACATTAGTAAGACCCTACCTCAAAAACCAAACCAAACTAAAATCTGTAAAGCATTTTTTGAGCCTGAGTCTCAACATTTGCCTAGGTTGGCCTTGAACTATCTTCCCATCTCACGCTCCTCAGAACTTGGATTACACAGATATTTGCAACTACATATGGCCCCTGGAAATCTTTTTTAAAATGATGACCATGGTATGTTAGTTTTGTTTCCTGGTGCTGTAGGAAAATATTCTGAGGTAAGCAACTCAGGAGAAGAAGGGAGTGTTCAGCTAACAGAAGCAGGTTACAGTCTGTCATTTCAGGAAAGAACTGATCAGGCCACAGCAGCCATAGTCAAGAGCAGAGAGCAATGGATTCGTGCACACAGCCCTATGCCCAGCTCCTTTCAGGACTCTAGTAAAGATGCCACTCTCTCCTCCATGATTTAATGTATATCCTGAATTGAGAATCACTGACTGAGGTTATGTACATAAACATAGTAATGGGTTGATGTAAGCATATCATTATCTCAGTAGATTATCTTATACTCCAAACAGTTAAAGTAGGTGTCTTCAAGAACACCCACAGGAATAAACAGAAAACTCCTCTGATTATTTCACAGGACAGGGACTTTAGGAACCAAGCAGAGAGCATCAAAAAAAGGATCGTCTGGGATTTGGAGAGCCGCTGCTACCTTGATCCTTCTGCAGTTGCAAGGTGGGAACAGAAAGGCATGTGCCTAACCAGCCAGGTCTACGGGGGAGGAAGGGAGTTGTCATTCCACTCCCCCCATCCCCAGACAGGGTTTCCCTGTATATCCCTGGCTATCCTGAACTCACTCTGTAGACCAGGCTGGCCTTGAACTCACAGAGATCCACCTGCCTCTGCCTCCCCAGTGCCATCATTGGCAGGCTATTCGTGGTTTATTTAAATACAGCACGATCTGGTAAAAACTATTCTTGTGATAATGAACTCAATCCCATGTATACAACAAAGCCTGTCTAAATCTCCTTGAGGAACAAAGTAGGCTGAATATAGATCACACGTGACTACATCGAAACTCTGTAAAGTACACGTGACACCTTCCATAAGGATTGGTTCTGTAGATGGACAGAGAAAATCAAGTTTATGAGAAGGGTCTGGAGGAGGACTCAGAGCTGGCTATAAAAATGTCACTCCAGCCTTCTGGAGGTTTCACATTCCTTGGCTGTGAACAACTGTGTGTGCTTGATATTCCAGATTCCCCTAGGGCATGTCTGTGAACACAGAGACCTCTGTGCTCCCTACAAGAGAGCTAGCTCAGTAGATAAGAGCATTTGCTGTTCTTGCAGAGGACCTGGGTTTGACTCCTAACATTCACATGGCAGCTCATAGCCATCTGTAATTCCAGTCCCAGGGAATCCAATGCCATTTCCTGGCAGCAGGGATGCATGTAGTGCACATAAATCTTTAAAAAAAAAAAAAGATTGCTGGAGCCCTAGCTTGCCCTTTCCATTGATGTCAGGAAGTGGGAGAAGGGAGTGTGTGTAGATTTAGAAGGGTACATGCTGGTGGTGGTAGGTGTTCTTAGGGGTTTTACCCCTCAGAGCCACCCAGGAATCTAATAACCTATTTATGTCTCATGGGTCATCTCTAAATGAAATTGATGCTAGAAAATACATTGTTTTAGTTGAACACATTGTCACCCAGCCTGAATCAGGGTCTCATTCTGGAAAGACAGGCTTAGCACTGTGTAGATAACTGTTTTTGCCATAGAGAGCTGGTTACAGATGACAAACACAGTGTGTCTGCAATCCCAGTCCTCAGCTCTGGCTTTTAAAAACAAAAGTTTTTTTTTTTTCAGAATAGTTTTCCATTTATAGAAACATTGGGCATTGGGTATTTTAAAGGTGTACTTCTGGTCCCTACCTGATAGTGTTCAACTCTTTATACGTTGGTGGATTTAATTGGCTAATGTTTTACTGAGGATAAACTGTTGCTCATATTATTTTGATCACATAGTTGTCTGTTAGATCAATAAAGAATAAGACAGGCTTAGCACAGGCTTTTTAATTGCTTTACTTTAATTGATGAAATGTTGGGTGTTTTCCCTCATGTTCCATGGATTTGAATCTGTGACCCAGCATATTTTGTTTCTCTGTGACCTTTAGTACTTTTTTTTTTAAAATACACAGGTGTAGTCTTTCTTCACCAGGCAGGGCTGCTGGCAGGTTCTTGTCGGAGAAAACCTCTATTTCTCCTTTTGCTGGATAGTTGTAGTGAGTACATCATGACCTTTGGTTGGACATGAGATCCATTAATGAACATGTTAGGTGGGGTGTAACACACAGGCATGCAGGGACTGCCACTTGTCCAGTGGTCCACGATTGGGGATAATTTGACCCCACAGACATCATTGGGTGAGTCACTTCTCAGCAACCATGTCTTCCAATTCATCTGTATCAAATTTTGTGAAGTCCTACTTAAATCACACATGTGTGGGGCCAGAGGAGAAGTTTTGGGGTCTATTTTCTTTCACTGTGAGCATCCCACTGAGCCTCTGGCCCTCTTTTAATTTTGTATTGGTATCTGGGCATTATGCTTAGGGAAAGAGGAACTCAAGGACTGGGGGTTTAGTGTGAAGTTTCGTCGCTATCTGTTTAGGAGCTGGCTATGGTGGATACTTGTAGCTGTGCCACAGGCCTCCGGTTCATTCCTCTTGCTTGTCTTTTTCGGGCTGACTCAAGAGCCCCTAAGACGGGACTCTGTTCTTCTGCTTTCTCCGATAAAATCTGTGCTTGTGCCTGAGCCCTGTCTGCTGCCCTGTTGCTGTGGCAGCAGATTTAGGGGTAGGAATCAGTTCTCTTGTGTTTTAGTAGGTTCATGCTGTTCTTAGGAAGGTTTCCTCCCTCACATTTGTTTGTGAGACAGGGAATCTGGGTGTTGTGGAGCTGCTAGCCAACTGTCTACTCAGAACACAATAAGCTCTGATAGTTTCCTTTAAGATTGAGTCTTTCTTACAAAGACACTTTAAGTGTGCCTTTAATCCCAGCACTGTGGAGACAGAGGTAAACCCACCCTGTGAGTTTGAGACCAGCCTGGTCTACATAGCAAGTTCCAGGCCAACCAGGGCTACATAGTGGGACCTTTCTCAAAAATAAAACACCCCCTAATAAATACAAATAAAAAAGAACACTTAAGGATATTTCAAAACATTTGCTTCCCACAGCCTGAAACACTAAGCTGGTCACACATGTCTGCAATTAGGAAGCAGAGACAAGTGAACGTGGTTGCTCACCTCTCCCTCTTTATTCAGTTAAAGCCTCCAGCTTGCCAGATGCCATCACCCACATTCAGTTTGCTTGTGGGCCTTCCTCAGAATGTACCCAGGAATGTGTTTCTCTGTGGTAAATCTAAGTCCTGCCAACTTTCCAAGATTAATCATTACAATTTTCAGTGTTTTTATTTGTTTAGACAGGGTCTCCCTATGTAGACTCGGTTAGGCTGGCCTAAATTTATCATCCTTTGGTTTCTGCCTCCCAGTGCTAAGATTAAAGGGCCTGGAACTCACTGTGCAGTCCTCAGATTTGTGATCCTCCTATCTTAGCCTCCTGTCAAGCTTATATTGCTATATGCCACTAAAAGATGTATGATTTGACATTGTTAGTACTTAAGTAAAATTATTTTTATAAATCTATAAACATAGGGGGGCTGGAGAGATGGCTCAGAGGTTAAGAGCACTGGCTGCTCTTCTAGAGGACCTGAGTTCAATTCCCAGCAACCACATGGTGGCTCAGTCATCTGTAATGAGATCTGGTGCCGCTGGCCTGCAGGCAGAACACTGTACACATCATAAATCTTTTTAAAAAATCTATAAACATATGAAGGTTTTAAAATATCAACCACTCAGGCTGGAGAGAAGGCTCTCCTATTATGAGTACTGGCTGCGCTTCCAGGGGACACTGGTTCAGTTCCCAGCATACTCATCAGGCAGCTCACAACTGCCAGGAACTCCAGCTCCAGAGGATACAGTGCCATCAGCAGGCACTGCACTGACATGCATATAACCCACAGAGACACACATACACATAATTAAAAATAATAAAAATAAATATTTGTTTAAAGCAGCAAACTAGTCCGGCATGGTGTTGCACATCTGTTATCTTAGTGCTCAGGAGCTTCAAACAAAAGGGTTCTGAGTTTGACAACACTGGGCTCTAGTAGTGAGACTCTGTCCCAAAACACACAGAAAATCACCTGCCTTATAAGACAGATCTCTCTCTCTCTCTCTCTCTCTCTCTCTCTCTCTCTCTCTCACACACACACACACACACACACACACACACACACCACATGTATTCCATTACTTTCTAGATGATAGATTTTATTTTTAGAACTTTGAACTGAATCCAGGACTAGGCAAGGGCTTGCTCTACCACTGAGCCTTATTCCCAGCTCATTTTACTCATTACTTTCTAAAATAGAGGAATATTTCCTGCTATAATGGTTGGTCCATGTTTGCAGTGTGGTGCTGATGAGCTGGTTTTTAATTTACAGTTTCCAGAAGCGAGTTGCTGATTGCAGGCTCTGGCCTGTGGAGATCACAAGAGTGCCTTTGGTCGCTGTACCAAAAGGGAAAGCAGGCAAACTTGAGAAGGTAAACAAACATGTGTATCCCCAAAATAAAACTAGTGCGGAGACTTCTGCCCATGGCTCCCAGCAGCTGAGAAACTGAGACAAGGATCATTTGCACCCCAGCGATGGAAAGCAGCCTTGGCAACAGAGAGCCTCCATCTCGAGGTTTTAAAGTTAGAAGTGATCAATCAAATGAAATCTGTTATCCTTTGTCTATCTGATTTTATGTGGCTGTTTTCCCTAATGCAACCAAATTGTGGTTCTTTGCCTTGGCCTTTCTTGGTGTATGTATTGAAAGCCTCATGTCCCAGGAAAACCTGGATTGGCCACCTATGTTCCCTGTTGCACACAAATACTTGTTCAAGCCTTATTTTCAGATATTTATTTCCCCTTGACCCTTTGTTATATTCTTACCATGTTTGCCATAAGAAATCGTCATTTTACCTAAGTCAAAATGAGTAATACAATTCAATCTAGTACATTTAGACTTACCTACAAAATGCTTTAGACTGCTTGTTAGTGTGATAGGATTCATGGATAAATCATGATTCTGGAAAGACATAGTTTTGTGAGCATGTCCTCTACCATTTTTCCTGTGTATGTCTCATCTTTACTCCTTATGTATAAGGAGTATACATAAGGAGTGAGGATAGGGGTCATACTGCATTATAGCCTGCACTGAACTTAGCCTGGTACACAGTTCACAGCAGGTACCTAACAAACATCTAAGTTACTTGATTTGGTTTTGTGTAAGTATGTTACCACCTCAGTGAACTGGTGGGGAACGGAAATCAGTGTGGATGCTCCTCGGAAACTAAAACTAGATCTAATATCTATCACAGCTGTTCCACTTCTGAGTATTTGCACATCACAGAGATACTGACACATCAGTGTTTATTGTCTCACTGTTCACAATAGCAGTTAGGAAACCAACCCAAGCACTCAACCACAGAGGAATGGCTTTAAAATGTCTTTAAGCCGGACGTTGGTGGCGCACGCCTTTAATCCCAGCACTTGGGAGGCAGAGGCAGGCGGATCTCTGTGAGTTCGAGGCCAGCCTGGTCTCCAGAGCGAGTGCCAGGATAGGCTCCAAAGCTACACAGAGAAACCCTGTCTGAAAAAAACAACAGCAACAAAAAATGTGTTTAAGTACATAACGGAATTTTTTCAGGCATAAAGTTGTAATGTCAGCTGGGCAGTGGTGGTGCATGCCTTTAATCCCAGCACTCAGGACACAGAGACAAAAGGATCTCTGTGAGTTCAAGGCCAACCTGGTCTACAGAGTGGGTTCCAGGACAACCAGGGCTGTTACACAGAGAAACCCTGTCTCAAAACAAACAAACAAACAAAAAAGGGATAAAGTAATAGCATTTGCAGGAACATAGATGCAATCATATTATAGCAATTAAGTCTGTCTCAGAAAGGCAAATACATATTTCCTCTCATTTAGAGTTCCTGAATTTAGTACAGATACATTCAATTACATCTGTACATATGACGTGAAAAGGGAACAAAAGGAACTAAGGGAAAGAAGTGGAGGGGTGTGTGGACAGTGCTTATCCATACCTGACTAAACTTGTCCTTATGTAACACAGTGCCATGTACAATGAATGTGTATAATGAAAAATATTTTGCTTTGAAACAGGGTCTCTCTATATAACCCTGCCTGTTCTGGAACTCACTCTGTGGACCAGGCTGGCTTTGAACTCACAGAGATCAGATTTCTCTGCCTCCTGAGTGCTTGGATTAAAGGTGTGTGTCACCATGCCCAACTTTGAGAATCATTTAAAATGCTGATTATGTGTGTGATATGCATGCATATATGAGTGTTTGTATGAGTGCGGGTACACATGTAAATATGAGTACATGTATGCATGTGTGCACTGGTGTGTGGAGGCCAGAAGTTGACACTGGTGTTTTCCTTGATCGAGTTCTACCTTATATGCTGCAACCAAGTCTCTCACCTTGAACCTGGAGCTCCCTACTTGGGCTAGTTTAGCTAGCTGGCCTGCTGTGTCATCTCTTGTCCCTACCCACCCAGTGCTGGATTCAGGGTAGTTTCTCCCTGTGATCAGCATTTATGGATGTGCTGGGATACAAATTTCTGTCCTCACACTTACAAGGCAAGCAGTGTACCCACTGAGCCATCTGCAGAAAAGTTTTTATGTAAGGAAACCCTACTCTATCTAAAAAAAACAAAAACAAAAACAAAACAGTTACATCCCCATGTAGCCATTTCCCTCTTTTATTCTAATATATATTGATTAGCACACCTTAGATTTCAAAGCCACAAAATGTTATAATAGAAACAAAGGACTTTTTAATCTAGCATTTATTACTATAGTAGGCAAAATTGAAGAGATTACCTTTAAGCTTGGAGCTAAATGGTTTTTTTTTTCTAAAATTTGAATTTTCCCCCCTTATTGTATTTTTTGGGAAGCTATCAAATCATTAAAAATGACATTAGACTATGTTTTTTAGCAAGGTCTTTATCTTTGGAGTGAGAGTTTGGATGGAATCAGGTATTGCAGATACATAGTTTGTCTGTGGCCTCTGTTGCTGACTAATGAGAGCAGTTTTCAGAGCCTGTGTCCATACAGAGACCCTTTCTCAGCACAGCATGCCCCATCACCATCAGCTGAGACGATAAGCTAGAGCATGCTGGTCAGAAGTGGTACTAATGCCCTGGAGAGTTCTGCTCATCTCACGGGAGTCTGTGAAATACAGTTGGAGCCAGAACATCTCATTTCCTTTGAATTCTGTTACTGTCTCCTTCCTTCCTTCCTTCCTTCCTTCCTTCCTTCCTTCCTTCCTTCCTTCCTTCCTTTCTTTCTTTCTTTCTTTCTTTCTCTCTTTTGTTTTTTAAATTTTTCCTAAGAAGCAACTTGTTAAAATTGACTTTTTGGTTGGATTATTTGTAATATCAATTCAGTTGACTGTATGTTGATTCCACTACTGCCTTTACGTCATTAACATTATCTTAGTGGTTGTTAAAGATCCCAAAGTGTCTATGTGACTGAGCCAAGGAGCACAGCTGGTTCCTCGGCAGAGATTGTTCCTAGACCAGCCGTTGAACTTCCGAGTCTGAGACCCACACTGTCTGCCCTGCTGTACTGTAGCTCTAATGCCTCTCCTCATCCCCTCAGACCGAAGACGAAAATCAGCTTTCGTTTCATGGTGTGGCATACGTCAACATGGTCCCACTCTTATATCCAGGGGTGAAGAGGATAAGAGGGGCTTTTCACGTTTACCCCTACTTGGACAGTACAGTCTTTGAAAAGGTAAGAAGACATTGCACAAAGGTGTCACCTTAATGCTTCCTCCATATACTTCTTTGCAGTTTACTTCTTTGCAGTTGCCATCCACAGCCAGTCAGCATATTGCATTCACCACTGTGTCCTGTAAAGAGGGTTCCTCTGCTTAAGGCTGAGAGAAGAAGCCTTTGTCTTTGGGGATAAACAGCCATGTTTATAAGTCATTTTGGTGCTGTGTCAATTTAGTTTACTCCAATTGGATCTACAATCTCCAGGCACTGGTTATTAACTGCGTTTGTAGTAATACAGTTTCTTGTCTGTAACTCAGGCTGTTCTTGAATTTGAAACCTTCCTGCTTCTGTCTTCTGAGTGATAGGATTATAGGACACCTAATGAGACATTTGATCTCATTTTTCTTTATTTTTGCAGTTTTATATTCCTCAAAATTTTCATGAGTATGGATCTTGTCTTTTGAGACAGTCTCACTCACTGTGTAGCCCTGGCAGGCCTGGAACTCACATTGTAGACCAGGCTTGCCTGGAACTTGCTTTGTAGACCAGGCTTACCTCAAACTCATAGAGATCTGCCTGCCTCTGTCTGCCACGTGCTGGGATTAAAGGCGTGTGCCACCATGACAGGCCTGAACATGGACTTTTTATCAGAGGGTAGAGGCACTTGCAGGCAGACCTGACAACCTGAGCTTGATACCCAGACCCCACAAGGTGTCAGGGAGTCACCTTCTCCTAAGATTTGTCTTCTGACCTACATAACATACACATGCACATATGCATATACACAAATAAAATTGATAAAATGTGAGTTACTTGTTTATTTGTCTTTTAATTATATTTTTATTAGTTAAAATGATCTTTAAATTTAAATATATTTTAGCATAGTCTTCCCCTCTCCCAAGTCCTTCTAGATCTTCTCCCTGTCCCTGTCCCACCCAACTTTAACGTTTTTTTTTCTCAAAAAAAAAAAACACCAAAACCAATAAAACAACACCAAAACAGGAAAACAAAACAAAACTGTAACCAAATAAAAGCACAAAAGAGAAACTGTGGAGTTCATTATGTGTTGGCCAGCTACTGAACATGAGAGTGGTGGATATACCCAGTGTCCCTCCAATGGAGAGAATTGATTTTCGCTCTCTTAGTAGGTATAAATGACAGATCGGTTTTATTTATTTCAATTTATTTACTCTTATAGCTAGGTTTTCATTCATTCATTCATTTTATAAAATATAGTAAGAGAAAACAGAAACTATCACATCCAAATTGAACAGACAAGCCAACAGAAGAAAAAGAGCCTAAGAGAAGGCATAAGAATCAGAAAAGCACTCATTCACATATCTTTTCTAATGACAAGAGTTCTGACATCAAAACCAAGTACAGCTGTGAGGTCTCCTCCTACCTCTTTAAATAACAGGAGGCAGATCATTTTCAGTGGTGATTTTGTGTGTTCTATGAGGTTCTTCAGGTCTCTATTCTGGATGTTTCATGGTCTGGAGAAAATGACCCCTTGGGTGGCCCCATTTACCTATGACTCATTTTTGTTCATTCCCTTCTTTTCAGACCAAATGCTTGTTCAGTATATTCAGGGACACTGGACACCATCTGGCTCACAATAATAAAGCAGGAGGTCTTAACTCCCCACTGTCCAAACCTGTTTCCAAGAATTTGAAAGAAGAGAAACAACCAGTGAAAGACAAGGAGGCAGATGGACGGGCTCGGCCTGGGGATTTGGTAGGCTCCTGAGACCATATGTAGATGCTACCATTCATTTCCCACTTTGTGAATTGTGTTGATGTATTTTTAATGTCCCTACTATGATGATGGCCATGAGAGAATCCAAGTTTGATGTTTCCTTTTTGTTTCAGCAAGCACCTAGCATAAAATCCCAGAGCTCAGATACTCCTTTGGAAGGCGAAGCCACTCTGAGCCACAATCTTGAAGGACAGGTAACTATGCTCAACATTTTAGAAATGGAATTTAACTTCACCAGACCTTCACTGAGCAAGACAGCTTAAGTGGAAAATGCTGGAGGTGGGACAGGAGTCACCTTGAATATTTGCTTGTGACTAGTCAATGATCTTGGGCAACTTTGTTCACTGAGACCTTAAAGTGAGTTGGTACCGGGCTGTGTTTAAGGTCCTTTCCAGAATTAAACTTTTATCTTTTATTAAGTCTACATTGAGCACCATGATGGATGCAAAGATGTGTCACTGGCAACATTTGCCCATCTGCCCTCTAGACACTGCCCTCTGCTCTCTGTTCAGACTGCTGCCTTTCTAACTGTAAGCCAGAACTTTGGTGGCTGCTATAATAAAAGCACTAGTAGAAGTCCTAGTCAGGCTCAGAGGAGATGACAGGATGGAGTGGTCCCAGGGAAATTGTCACAGAAAAGGTGAACCAAACATAGTGAAAAGACAACCCTTTGCCCAATGAAGAGAGAGAGAGAGGCACTCCATGGTCAGAGAGCAGCTTAAGTAAGACACAGAGAAAGATTATACCAACCAATTCAGGGTGGGATATAGGGGATGGAGAGAGAGGTCCTAGAGCAGTTCACGACCCTCAAAGGCCATCAGAAAACACAAAAATTCATAACAGTAACAAATTACAGTTATAAAGTAACAACAAAAATAAATTTTATGGTTGGGGGGTCACTGCAACAAGAGGAACTGTATTAAAGGGTCACATTAGCAAAGTTGAGAACTACTGTAGAGAGGAGCTACAGGTAGGGAAAGACAGCCTGGAGAACTTGAAAGGCTTGCTGCGGTGCTTGGGCTTCATTCTGCAGGAGACTCTTGAGCTCCATTTTGCCCCTTTCTGAAGTGGGCATTGGATACAGGACCCAATGAGTGCTTGGTAAGCCCTCTATATTCCCTATACCAAAGGTTTTGACACACAGAAATTATGATCGTGTTGAATTAGAAAATGTGTTGCAAGCCAGACTACTACTACTACTTCTTCCTTCTTTCTCTTCATCCTCTTCTACCTCTTTCTCTTCTTCTTCTTCCTCCTCCTCCTCCTTCTTCTTCTTTTTTGGTTTTTTGAGACAGGGTTTCTCTGTGGCTTTTGGAGGCTGTCCTGGAACTAGCTGTTGTAGACCAGGCTGAACTCACAGAGATCTGCCTACCTCTGCCTCCCGAGTGCTGGGATTAAAGGCATGTGCCACCACTGCCCGGCTCTTCCTTCTTCTTTCTTCCTTATTTTTTTCTGGTTTTTCAAGACAGGGTTTCTCTTTGTAGGCCTGGCTGTCCTGGAGCTCATCCTATAGACCAGGCTGGACTTGAACTCACAGAGAGCCACTTGCCTCTGCCTCCTAAGTGCTGGGACTTCTTGTCTGGGTTTCAGACAGAAGGTGGGGAGGGCCCATGGGTCTTTCTTACAGCACATTTTCCCACTGATGCCAGTTTGATTTTGGGAAGGGGTTGAAGGAAAGAAAGGCAGTGGCCTGAAGAGGCAGGGTATTGGGTTTGAGAAGTTTGTGGGTACAGGGAGATTGAAGAAAAGTCAAAGACAACTCAGGTTTCAGGTGTTGCTTTGTGGAAGGTTGACATCATTAAGAGAAATCTCCAAAAGAAACATTGATACAATGGACAGTTGCATTTAGGATGCTTGTAAAAATTAGTTTGGGGGGCTGGAGAAATGGCTCAGTGGTTAAGAACACTAGCTGGTCTTCCAGAGGTCCTAGTTCAATTCCCAGCAACCGTATGATGGCTCACAACCATCCATAATGAGATCTCTTGCCCTCTTCTGGCCTGTGGAGATACATGCAGACAGAAAACTGTATACATAATAAGTAAATCTTTTAAAAAAAAATAAGTCTGGGGACTGGAGAGATGACTGAGAGGTTAAGAGCACTGCTTGCTGTTTCAGAGGTCCTGAGTTCAATTCTCAGGAACCACATGGTGGCTCACAACCATCTGTAATGAGATCTGGTGCCCTCTTCTGGTGTGCAGACATACATGCAGGCAGAATACTGTGTACATAATAAATAAACAAATCTTTAAAAAAATAAGTCTGGGTAGACGTGTTCAGGAGTCAGAGCTGGTGGAGAAGGCTGCTGGAGGAAAGAGTGACATGCATTTAAAATAGTTCCAAGACAAATATGAATGAGTTTGTCAGGCATGGTAGTCTATATCCTTAATATCAACCCCAGGAAAAGCAAGAGGATCTCTATGAGTTCTAGACCCTGGTCCTCACAGATAGTGCCAGGCCAACCAGGGCTACATAGTGAAATCTTGTCTCAAAAAGAAAATAAGTAAAAAATTTAAGTTCAACAGGATCTACTGGAGTGGAAACCTCCAAAACCAGACATGAAAACACTCTCTTCCATGAGCTCACCCCTATTGCTATATTCCTTTCAAATTATTATCCCATGTAAAATATTTGAACCATAGAGATCATACTTCATATGTAGCTTATGCACATATCTTTCCTCCTGTAAATAGTACCTGATGTTATTTAAGATGTTACATTATTGTATTTTTATGAGATTAGCAAATAACAAAAAAATGTCTTTGCAGCAATATTTAGAAGCTGGGACATACATTGTCTTGGAGATCCAGCTGGACAAAGCCTTGGTTCCAAAGCGGATGCCAGAGGATCTGGCCAGAAGGTGTGGGATGCTTATTCCATTTGGCACAGTTTAGAAATGAAGAAGAGTCACTCGGTTTGTCCCAACAAATGTATTTCCCTTGTCCTAAGCAGAGGACCTGATTTCAGTGCCCAGCACTATGTCAGGCCTCTCACAGTCACTTATAACTGCAGCTCTGAGAGGTCCAGAACCACCTTCTGGGCTCTGCTGGTACTTCCTTTTTTTTTTTTTTCTTTTTCTTTTTCTTTTTCTTTCTGTCCATAAGGAGTACAGTTAAGTAACTGCCTTGTGGGCTTTCTCTTCTCTCCTCTCCTCTCCTCTCCTCTCCTCTCCTCTCCTCTCCTCTCCTCTCCTCTCCTCTCCTCTCTTCTCTTCTCTTTTTGTGGGCTTTCCTCTGGTTTGTTCTGCCTTGTTTTTAGACTGAGTTTCATGTACCTGGGTTGTGTAGCCCAGGGCAGCCTTTGACTTCTGATCCTCCTGCCTCCACCTCCTCAGTTGCAGTTGTGTGCCACCAAACCTGGTTCATGTGGGTTAGTGATCAACCTAGGGCTTTTTGCACACTAGGCAAACATTCTACCAACTGTGCTACGTCCCCAGGCCCCTTCTTCCTTGCTAGTGTACCTATATAGAAATAGAAGTTCTCCTTGGGGAGGGGCTGTATTCACTCAGCCCATAAATTGTGGAATATTTTCCTCTTGTTTTCACTCGATGGTGTAGGTATGTGCCTGTATGTGCTGTGTGCTCCTGTATGCACACAGGTGTACAGGTATACTCACCCATGTGTTCATGTGTGCTGGATGAGTGTGTGTGTGCGTGCTGTGTATTTCTGTGTGCATACATGTATCGATGTGCACTCACCCATGTATGTTTGTGTGGCGGCCAGAGGGCAGTGCCAGCTGTCCCCCTCAATCATGTTTACCTTATCTTTAAACTTCATGGCCTACATATTCTGCCTGTGCTTTGCCCTTGCTTTTTCAGTCCAACCAAACTAGTGTCTCTTCTATTCCTCATATGTGAGGCTCATTGTTTTGTTACTGTTTGTTTTGTTAGTTTGAGACAGGGTCTCATTATGTAGCCCTGGCTGTCCTGCACTCACTATGTAAACCAGTCTGGCCTTGAACTCACAGAGCTCCCCCTGCCTGTGCCTCCTGAGTGCTGGGATTAAAGGCATTCACCAAGCATGAAGCTCACGTTTGCAGCAAGCCCTTCGCACTGGCTGCCTCTATGCCTGAAATATCCCTATCGTGAATATCACATGATTTTCCCTTCCCTTGGGTTTTGCCTGGAAAGCATTGTCTCTATGAGGCCTTTCCTGGTGAAGTGTGCTCTCCTGCTCTACCAGCCTGAGCCCCAACATAGCGCTGCCTCCCAGAATCTTAGCGGTTTTCTTTCCCTACCAGAAAGTAGGCTCCATGAGAGCAAGGATCTTTGTGTTGTTTAGCTCCATCCCCAGGCCTAGAAAAGCTTCTGATGAAATAGGAACTCACCATATATTTTGAATGAATTTATAATATCATCTCTGGAGCAGAAACTAGGAGGTTGACAGCAAAGTTAAAAGTATCCCATGTCTTTAAATTTTCAATTATATATATTGCCTGTAAAGAATTAAATAGAATTAAAATTAGTAATAGAATTTAAATAGAATTAAAATTAGTAATCATTAACAGTAATTATTTAGATCCTATTAAAGAAAAGTTCCACAATTGAAGATCTCAAGGCAGTACAGTATGGTTTGACAGGAATCTGAAACCAAAAGGGACCAGAGCTTGGGCATATTCTGATTTTCCTTTGTAGGTTCCTTCTTTTGTTTTATTGTATTTTGTTTTTGTTGTCTCTTTGTTTTTGAAACAGAGGCTCAAGAAGCCCAGACTGGCCTCAAACTTGCTATGTAGCTGAAGCTAACCTTAAACCTGCTTCCATGTGCCAAGTGCTAGGATGGCAGGTGTACATCCCCAAGGCCAGTCCTTGTAGATTAAATAAGGTCTCCTAAAAAGGGAAGGTAGGCATTTTGACATGTGTTGCTTCATAGTGAAATGCTATAGAGAGATGGGGCTGGAGACATGACTTGGTGACTAAGAGCACTGGCCGCTCTTTCAGAGTACCTAAGTTTGGTTCCCAGCATCCACATAGTGGCTAACAATTGCTCTTAACTCCAGTTCTAGGGGATCCAGTGCCCTCTTCTGGTCTCTTTAGATACTAGACAAATACACAGTGTACATTTATAATTGCAGGCAAAGCACTCATACACACAAGAATAAAAACAAGCCAATCTTTATTCATTTACTTATTTTGGTTTTTAGAGGCAGGGCTTCTCTGTATAACCCTGGTTGTCCTGGAACTCACTCTGTAGACCAGGCTGGTCTTGAACTCACAGAGATCCCCTTGCCTCTGCTTCCCAAGTGCTGGGATTAAAGGTGTGCACCACCACAGGCAGGCTCAAAACAAGTAAATCTTTATTTTTATGTATATACATACACACATATATTCTTACAATCTGATAGCATTATTGTAATTTAATAATGTAGTTGTATAAATTATGATTAAGAACACACTTTTCAGGGCTGGAGAGATGGCTCAGCAGTTAAGAACACTGGCTGCTCTTCCAGAGGTCCTGAGTTCAGTTCCCAGGAACCACATGGTGGCTTACAGCCATCTATAATGGGACCTGATTTCCTCTTCTGGCATAAAGTTGTACCTGCAGATAGAGCACTCATATACATAAAATAAGTAAATCTTAAAAAAAAAAAAAGAACATGCTTTTCAACCTAGGTGGAAAGGAAATTTCTAGCTTTCCAAATCTGTGCCCTTTCAGAAACACCGACAGATATATACCCATTATTTCCCAACACTTAGTCCAGAGGCCATTTAACAATACTTTTAAAAAAAATAAGTGAGGATAAGGCCAGAAGCGCCATCTTCTATACGGTTCTAGGGTTCAGATCTAGGGTTTTATAAGAGAGAGTGGAATGATACTCAAGTGTAGTAGGGAGGCAGATCTCAGCTCTCCTCTACATGGACTCTGGGGAAATAGGAAAGAACACAGGCCTGCAGACAATAAAGTTTTTTTTGTTTTGCTGCTTTTTCCTGATACAGGGTCAAGGAAATGATACCTCCAAGGCCACCTCTCACCCGGCGGACAGGAGGCGCTCAGAAGGCAGGTGTTAATGCCAGGACCAAGCTGGGGTGAAGGCAACATGAGCTGTTGAGTGGCTTCCATTGGGGAGGGGGAAGCCTCTTTGGTGCCTCACAGGCATTCATTCAGTTCCATTTGTGATCAGTGAATGGCTTACAGTGTGTAATCTGGCTCAGTGGAAAAGGACAGTTTATAGAGCTGGTAATTTCTAATCCACCGTCTGAGTATCTTTGAGGCCTGTTTACTACCATTGGTTGTTTTCTCAGGCTGTGAGTGACTACCACACACAGATCAAGAGCATTTCCAGAGCCATTCTGGAAGAGTACCACCGGATGTTTGGAAAGCAAGTGACCAAGGCAGGAAATGATGTGGACAGTGAGACCTTGGAGGAGCAGAAGTGCCAGCTCAATTATGAGCTCAATTGCTCCGGAAAGTACTTTGCTTTTAAAGAACAGCTCAAGGTAAGACGTGCATTTCTCTCATGGTTTGTCAGCTTATGGAGCCCCTTGTGTACACCTGTTCAGTAGTCTCTGCTCTGATTCTGCTTGGTTGAGTTCTCTAGGAGAGATGTGAGAAAATGATCCATGTCTGCAGTTTCTGGATGGTGCAGTGTTTACTCGAAACAACAGTTTGTAATTCCTCACCTTCGCTTGAGGCTAGACTGGACTTGAGATCAGACTTCACCCTCTGCCAGCTAGCAGAAATTATGTTCTTGACACTAATTCTCCATATCTTTCGTTTAAGTCTCCTTGTCTTCAGAGTAAAGAATTGAGAGCTGGTGATGCACACCTGTAATCCCAGCTCTTAGGAGGTGAATCAGAAATTCAAGACCAGCCTTAGCCATATAACAAGTTTGAGGTCAGCCTGAGCTATGATGAGGCCTTGTTAAAACAAACAAACAAATAAAAACCGAAAATCTTTTTAAGAACCTAAAAGTCTATTAAAATAGTATATTAAAAATAATGACTAGTATTCATTTCTAAATCAGTTTTTAGTTTGGGGGGATGGGTTATTCTTGAGCAACAAGAGATAATAATATTATCACATGAGTTTATTATTAGTATTAATATGATGGTGTTTAATATATAACCTGATTTAAGAGAGGAAAAAAAAAAACAGTAGCTTCCAGGCTATAGCAACATGCTTTTTTTGCTTATATATTATTCTCCCTGTCTGTGGTGTATTTGTTCTGAGATTCCCAGTAACTGCTCAGAACTGTGTGTGGGTAAGGAGCTGAGGAGATAGCTCAGCAGTTAAGAACACTGGCTTCTTCTTCCAGAGGACCCAGGTTTGTTTTCCAGCACCCACATGGAGGCTCATAGCCATCTGTAACTCCAGTCTCGGGGAATCTGATGCCCTCTTCTGGCCTCTGTGGGCACCAGACATACATGGTGTACAGGCATACACGCAGGCAGAACACCCATACCCTTGTGCTGGTTTCACAGACCTGTGTCACCACACACAGCTTTCTGTAGCATTTCAAACTTCTGCTTCTGTTTACTTTGTTCAGCTTCTCAACTACCATCTGAAGTATGGTGGCAATACTGGAACTATGTATTCACTTAGCAAAGGAGGAAACTGGGGTACCAAATAGAACATATGAGCTTGTACAGTGATAGTGTTTAAACCAGAATCCCATTCTCTAGCCTCTCAGACCGGAGTTTTCCCCCTTCTCCCCTATACCACATAGCTTCTGGGAAAGCCACAGCTCTCAAACCTACTCCAAAGTTTGTTTTCAGCTCCATAACCCTGTTCACATGGTATGCACTGCTTTCCCCCTGTTAGTGATGTTGCAGAATCAAGAAAAGACTCTCTTACCACCCAGACTAGAGGCACATGTCTTCAAAACTAACACTTGGGAGATAGAGACCAGAGATGTGAGTTGACCAGCACAGTGGGCTACATAGTGTGTTCGGGTCAGCCTGGGCTACATAGTGAGACTCTGTCTTTAAATAAATTTAAAAAAAAAAAAAACATTGAGGACATGGGGAGCTGTTAGTTAACACAGAATAAAGTGACCATCACTTGATGCTCATATGTCCTGGTATCAGAAGCCCCAGTGATCTGGGTGTCAGTACGCTGCTGAACCTCAACTTCAGAAGGGAATGTGTGTGTCTTGCAGCATGCGGTGGTAAAGATTGTGAGAGAGAAATACTTGAAGACAACAGCATTTGAAAGTCAAGAGGAACTGCAGACGTTTATCAGTGAGCTTTATGTGTTCTTGGTAGATCAAATGCATGTGGCTCTAAACCAGGTAGGTGTTTACATCTCAGAGCCCACTCCCTCTTGGAGAGCAGCAGGGCTTCTTTTGAAACACTCCTCCCTTCTTGGTTTATTTTCTTCCTCTACTCATCAAATACTGATGAGATAGGCTGTTCTGTACAAGGGACTGACCACACATTTTGAGAAGGGGCATGCTCTTTCAGTTTCCCAGAAAAACTGGTTCTCTAGTCTTCAAAAATGTTACATGGGACTGGAGAGATGACTCAGTAGTTAAGAATACCAGGTGCCCTTCCAGAGGACACGAGTTTGAGTCCCAGCACCCACCTGGTGGTTCACAACTGTCACTCTAAATCCCAGGCATCTCAGCTAGCCTCAGGCACAGACATGCAGGCACCAAAATAAGCATGCACATAAATAAAATAAAAGATTTTTTTAATGTGGCAGAATTCTTAAATAAAAGCCATGGAAATTGTGAAACAAACAATTATTTTGTTAATGTTCACAAGTCTTAATTTTCTCCAGGATAATAGAAATCAGAGAAAACTGTGTCTGGCTGTCTTAAAAGTTGTTTAAACTATTATGTGAAGATGACAGTAACAATTAAAAAACGCCTTTAAAATTTTTAATTACATTTTTATTTATTTATTTTGTGTGTGTATTGCCATGTCACACATGTTGCGGTCCCTCCTGCCACCATGTGGGTCCCAGAGACTGAATTCAGGTCATCAGGAGTAGCAGCAGCCTCCTTTAGCCACTGAGCTATCCTGTCAGCTCAAAACATGCATGTTAGTGACTGGGATCTTCTTTCCCCTACTCCTCTGTTTGTGCCTTTATTTGTACAGCTTGCTTCTTACCTTACCTGCTTTTATGCATTCCTGCATGTGGTTAGTTGTTACTCGTGTGAACGGTGACAAAATCAAATCTTACTGTATTTCGGAGAGTCTCTGGTCAGCCGTGCCACTTTACAACCTCTGTCCTGTGTTCACTTTCTTCACTGTTTTTCTTTCCCACCACCAGCCTCTCCTTTCACATGCTTCAGTCTTCTTGGAATAGGTAAGACAGGAGAAGACAGTAGTGTAGGATTAAAAGAACAGCCCTGCTTAGACACAGACACAGGTGACACATAGGATTTGCTTGGAAAATTCTTGACAGTTGACATGAGATGGGATTTGCTGTTGCCTTCTATCCCCAGGGAACCTTTGTCTGGGAGAGGAGACAGGCATGAAACACAAATGCCTTAAGTGCTCTGACAGAGGCATAGCTCTACAGGGCAGGGCGGGGCTCTGTGTGATGCTGGGACCTTTCAGGGAAGGCTTCATGAAAGAGCTGTGGCTTAAGCTGGGCATCAGAGCTGCAGACATCTCCATGTCGAGCCACCAGGTCCATCACAAGGCTTAGGAGCTCGAGAATTTGGCATACACAGAAATATCAGAGTTCAGGAGCAGAAAATGAAGTTGGAGAAGCAGGACTTGAAGCTGGATTCTCATTCCTGAGGGTTTGCAGGGTATGGAGAGGAAGGCCTTGATTGCTACACAAAGAAAATTTGCAAGGTCAGAGGAATGACTCAGTAACAGTTAAGAGTACTGGAAGCTCTTCTAGAAAACCTGTGTTCAATTCCCAACACCTGCGTGGTAGCTCACAACCACCTGACATTCCAGTTCCAAAGGATCTGATGCCCTCTTCTGGCTTTCACAGGCACCATGCATGCACATGTTATATAGACATTAGCATAGACATAAAATAATTTTTAATTAAAATTTTTTCCTATTTCCAATTAGCAGGAGCAATTAATTGAATTACTCATACTGGGATATAGTTTGATTAGATTAATATTGTACAGAAAGCACTCTCCTAGCAGTTCAGAGGCTGGATTCAAAGTAACTTTGAAAATATTGACAAGGTTTTTTTTTTTTTTTTTTTTTTTTTTTTTTGGTTTTTTTCAAGACAGGGTTTCTCTGTGTAGCTTTGGAGGTTGTCCTGGAACTTGCTCTGTAGACCAGGCTGGCCTCGAACTCACAGAGATCTGCCAGCCTCTGCCTCCCGAGTGCTGGGATTAAAGGCGTGCGCCACCATTGCCTGGCTCTGAAGTATTCTTTAAGATTCATTTATTTTATGTGTATTCTTGTTTTGCCTGCATGAATGTGTAGGCACTATGTGCATGCAGTGCCCAGGGAGGCTAGAAAAGCACAACTGAGCTGCAACCAGGTGGTTGCTGGGAAGCGAACCCAGGTCCTCTGCAAGAACAGTCAGTGCCCTTAACCTGTGAGCCATCTCTCCAGCCCTGAATCAAGTGCTTGTAAGTTTAAGGCTCAGTGATTGGGCTGTTAGTGGTCAGGGAACAGAGTATAAGTAGATTTGGGGGTGCAAGTGACACGGGCTTTAGTCTTGACCATTAGTACCAGTGGGTCTTCGCTTCAGAGAGAGCAGTCTGAGCTAGAGATGAAGTTTGAGGAGTCATGTGGCCAGAGACAAGGCTACCTAAAAAACTGAGGAAAGACAGGGGACTCTGGCTGTAGACTCCTAGGAGATACCAGAAAGCATGGGTGAATGGCAGATGTGACAACGGGGACAAGTGGAGTTGGTAAGGAACCAGGAGAGTGTGGGGTTGCTGGAACCAAGGAGAAAGAATTAAAAAGAAAACAGATCTACATTGTCTGTTACCTAGGAACTCAAGAAAAACAACCCTGAGGAATTTTCATTGGATTTGATGATAAGGAAGTTATTGGCAAACTTTACATGGGAATTTCACTTACACTGGGAAAATTAAAATTGAGGAGTAAATATGTTGATAGGAAATAATTTGCATTCAAGAAGTTGGACGATGAGGGACAAAGGAAAATAGAATCTAGAGATTACAAGGCAAGTGCATATGCAGTTTTATAAATGAGGTGAGCAAAGAGGCAAAGCCCAGCACCCAGGAAGCTGAGTGAGGCTGGAGGATAGCCATGAGGTGGAGGCCAGCGAGGGCTTCACAGGGAGTTCTAGGCTTGCCTAGGCTACATTGTACATTTCAGACAATCGTGGGCTATCGTATGAGAACCCATCTCAGAGAAAATCAAGTAATTGGAGGAAACTGTTGTTGGGAACAACACAGGTAAACACCTGTGAAAGAATGTAGGTTTGAAACGGAAGGATTAGACATGAAAAGGGGAAAGCTTTGGGTGACTCTCCTCTGAGATCAAAAGGGCAGAGCCACAGATGGAAACATCTTAGGTGTAGAGTTGAAAGTTGAGGATTTAGGCTGGAGATGCAGCTCAGTGGTAGAGCATTTGCTTGGCATGTGTAAGGTCCTAGGTTCAGTCTCCAATACCTTAAAGAAATTCAGGGTTGCTTGTCTAATGACTTCTCTCTTCCTTTCTTCCTTTTGAGGATGTTCTATGGCATAATCTAGGCTGGCCCTGAATTTGCTATGTAGCTGAGGAGGACTTTGAACTGATCCTTCTGCCCTCACCTCTCAAGTGCTTAGCCTAACCTTTCTATAACTTCTTTGAAATAGCCCCTTACTGAAATGGTGGGACCTGGCCCAGTAGCTGTAAGCATGAAATACCAGTTACTCAGGAGGCTGAGGCAGGAGGGTTGAAAGTTAAAGACCTGCATATTCTCCAGAGTGCATTCAAGACAAGCATGCTCCATCGTTCATACATGAGTGCACGTGCGCTCACGCGAGCACACAACACACACTACAATCTCACTTATATGTTATGACTAGATCTCACATCCAGTCTATTCTCATAACCCTTTCCCCATATAATTGTTTCATTTTGTTTGTTTACCATCTCAATGACAAGTCCATGCCTGATGAGACCCAAGGCACTGCCTCAACGATTCACAACAGCAGCGAACAACTTCGACTCTTCGCATTTGAGGCAGAAGTCAATGAGAACTACGAAATGGCAGCAGTATATTATGAAGAGGTAGCTAAATATCTCAGTGATGATTGTTGTTATTTGTGAATATATGTAAAACTGTAATTTTCTATTAACAACAAACTTGACCAGTGAAAGGATAGACACAGATTAGTAGGACAGAGAGATGAAAAATATTCCCATATGAATAAGATGTTTTGTTATTTCTCTTCTTTTCTTGAGACAGGGTCTTATTTATCCCAGGATGAACGCATTTTATAGCCAAAGATGAACTTGAACCTCTCTTCTTGCTGCCTCTATCTCCCCAGTGTTAGGATCACAGTAGCACCTACAGCACTCACAGTTCATGTGGTAATGGGGATCCAACCCAGCAAGTCCTCTACCAAATGATCTGTATCCCCAGCCCAGGCTCTGGGATTTCCCGACAAGTTCTCTCTCAGTATGTCAGGCTGACCTGTTAGATCTTCCTGCTTCAACCTCCTGAGTTCTACAATTACAGGAATAAGCTCTATGCCCAATATTCCACTTGATCTTTTTAAACTTGTTTTTATTTTGTATATGAGTGTTTGGCCTGCATTCAGGCATGTGTACCATGTGCATGTCTGGTGCCTGCAGAAGCCAGAAGATCCCCTAGAACTGGAGTTACAAATGGTTGCAGGCCACATATGGTTAGTGTGACTCAAACCTGAGTCCTCTGCACCTTATATATTGGAGCAGGCGCTCTCATTTAAACCAAGAGCTAACCAATGTGGCTGGTCTAGCTGGTCAGCTTGCTTTGGGGCCCAAGGTCTGTGGTCGCCTGTCTCTGTCTCTCACCCTGAGATTATAGGCAGGCCACACCTACTTGGCTTCTGCTCGAGTGCTAGGATCTGGATTCTGGTCCTCATGTTTCATGGTGAGTGCCACCTCTCCAGCACCAGGTCATTTGATTTTTGATGAAGTTGTATAATAAATTCAATGTAGAAATGAGTTGTTTCAATAAACAACTAGAACAGTTAGCAATCCACATGCAAAATGAATGAACCTTGAACTGATTTTTTGCAAAAATCAATGATAAATGGATAATTGATCTAAATGTAAAGCATGGACCATTCAAAATAAAACACAGGCCGGGCGTTGGTGGCGCACGCCTTTAATCCCAGCACTCGGGAGGCAGAAGCAGGCAGATCTCTGTGAGTTCGAGACCACCTTGGTCTACAAGAGCTAGTTCCAGGACAAGCCTCCAAAGCCACAGAGAAACCCTGTCTCGAAAAACAATAAATAAATAAATAAATAAATAAATAAATAAATAAATAAATAAATAAATAAATAAATAAATAAATAAATAAATAAATAAATAAAACCAAAAATAAATAAATAAATAAATAAATAAATAAATAAATAAAACACAGGAGGAAATCCTTGACCAGGTCTTATTAGAGAGTTCCTTGACAGAAGACCAAAGGACAGACAGAAGGTCACAGGAAAAAGTGGTGTCTGCCATCTCAGTACCAGAAGGTGGAGGCAGGAGTACTGCTGTAAACGGGAAGCCAGCTTGGGCTATGTAACAATTTCCAGGCTAGCCAGGGCTACAAAAGTACAGATTAGGAGAAATAGAACACATATTTTTTTTAAAACAGCTTGTATACAGAATTTCAGATTCCAACCAGGAATAGTGGCACTCCTTTAATCCCAGGATTTGGGAAGCAGAGACAGGTGAATTTCTGTGAGTTCAAGGCCAATCTAGTCTACAAAGTGAGTTCTAGGACAGCCAGAGATATATAGTGAGGTCCTGTTTCTAAAAAAACAAAAAACAAATAAACAAAAACCAAAAAAGCCTCAAAATGTAACATTTTTGTAACAGTAGTATCTGTTTTAATTATTTTGTGAATACTTAAGAGTGGAATTGCAGGCTATATAGTAATTCTATGTTTAACATTTAAAAGATTTCCAATGGGATTTTGACAGTGATTGCCCTTCATCTGTAGATTGCTCTTGACAGCATGATCTCTTAATACCAAATCTCCCCATCCTAACCCGAACTCAGGGCATTCTTCCATTTATTCATGTTTTCTTTCCATTCTTTAAACCGTCTTTATAGTTTTCATTTACATGAGGCATCCTTTTCCTTAGATTTATAGATAACTGTGTATGTTTTCCACCTCAAGCTTATGGTAGTAATCATTACCTATAGTTAATGCAGCATAAAGTGAGTCCTTAATTCCTAAGGTATTGTTTAAGTTTAGGAATACATCTCTTGAGGATTCATATTTTAAGTCATGTCAATAATTTTTGACTATATACTCAAAGCTAGAACAGTACTTGTGCTGGGCATCTGGGTCCTGTGTAAGCAAAAGACAAATGATGGTTTTGACTTTCATAACGTATGGTATTTGTGGGGCATTTTCTGTGTTATATGTACAAAAAGTAGGGCTTGGTGTCGCAATAACCCTGAACCTCCCAATACTTTGTGTACCTAGAGGTTGGTCCGTGAGCCCCAGAACTTGGATCACTGGCTGGATTATGGTGCCTTCTGCCTCCTCACGAAAGACATCACTAAAGCACAGGAGTGTTTCAGGAAAGCTCTTTCCCTGAATGAGAATCACATTCACAGGTAGAGGAGAAGGGGAGATCAACGAGTAGGAGGCAGATAAGTTGCAACATGAGATTATCTTTGTTCTGTTAAAGTGACATAGGACCAGACTGCTAACCAGGCTTGTGGGTCTCTTCTCAGCTTGTTGCTGTGTGGTGTCCTGGCTATCTTGTTGGAGAACTATGAGCAAGCAGAAATTTTCTTTGAGGATGCTACATGCTTGGAACCTACCAATGTTGTTGCGTGGACTTTACTCGGTACACTGTTGCCCTGGGGTGTGGATGTGGGCTTTCCTCCATCACAAGTTTCTCTTTTTCCCTGTTTTACCCTAGTGACTGAAGATGTGGGGGTTTTTTTGTTGGGGGGAGGGTGGGGATAGTTCAAGACAAGGTTTCTCTGTGTAGCCCTGGATGTCCTAGAACTCACTATGTAGATCAGGCTGGCCTTGAACTTCCAGAGATCTGCCTGCCTTCTGATTGCTGGGATTAAAGGCATGTATCACCACCGTCCAGCTAGGATGTGGTTTTTAAACTCTAGTAAAACAAATACGAAGAGAGAAATGAAATGTGTCCATCCTTCACCTTTGATAGTGGGAACTTAGCCCTGTATCTCAGCTTCTTTATTTCCTCAGGATTGTTCTATGAAATTCAGAATAATGATATTCGAATGGAAATGGCATTTCATGAGGCCTCCAAACAGCTTCAGGCACGAGCCCTCCAAACAAAGCTAAAGAGCGCTGGCACCATAGAGAATGTGGACGATGGAGTGAAAATAGAGCAGAGTTTTGGCCCTTGGGGAACCATACATGACTCTGCCTCAGCCCTCAAATCAGAAGGCCTGACAGGTGGGAGTGCAGTGTGGAGGTGGGAAGTGGCCATTGGAAACTTATTAGCCTAAGGATAGGACCTGGTGCAAAGTAGGCACCAAGTCAGTGTTTGTTCAACAGATACCGAAAGCTTCAGTTATTTTGGCAATATCAGGAAAGATACCATGCTAATTAATAACTCATCATCTGGGAACTGGTCAGAAGCATCTGTTGATGCTGATTTTCATATCATACAGGATTTACTCCCTTCATCAGTATCCCTTAAATAACTGGTGCTGTTCTGAATATATTAAAATGGTTTTTTTCCTGCCCTTTTCTCCCTATCATGTAATTATTTATTTATTTACTTATTTGGGTTTTTTGAGACAGTGTTTCTCTGTGTAGCTTTGGAGCCTGTTCTGGAACTTGCTTTATAAACCGTGGTAGCCTCGAACTCACAGAAATCTTCCTGCATCTGCCTCCCGAGTGCTGGGATTAAAGGTGTGCAACACCAATGCCTGGCTCATGTAATTCTTAAATGTATTTCTTTCCCCATTTCCCCTCCCCTGTTCTCTATTCCTGTATATTTTAGAGATGTTTTTAGATTTATTCATTTTATAAGTTTATGTGTGTCTGCTTATCAGTATGTGCATCGCATGCATGCAGGTATTCACAGAGCTCAGAAGAGTGAGCCACATGCCCTGGAACTAGAGTTACAGACCACTGACTGGGAACTGACAGATATGGGTGCTGGGAACTAAAGCTGGGTCTTCTGCAATAGCAGCAAGTGGTCCTAACCACTGAGCCATCTCTCCAGCTACTTTTCATATATTTTAGGAAATCAATCACTGTGTTATGTTTTTATGTGTGTCTTTGCTTGTGCATTTCTTACATACATGCATTGTTATTCTGTGTGCATACGAATATTAAGGTGGCCTGAGAAAATTTCAATTGAAATTTTACAAACTGTACACATTGAAGGTCAGTTTAGCAAATATAGTGAAAACACCACAACAATCAAGATAATGATGTGTTCATGCCCACTGCAATGCCTTTTGTCTGCTCCCATTTCTAGATAACCTATGACGTGCTGTCACTATAGAGGAATTTGCACTGAAAAAATTTTAAAGTTACATTTATTTATGTATTTATTTATTTATTTATTTATTTATTTATTTATTTATTTGGGTTGAGAGGTATATGTACCCTGACACTTGTGGCAGTCAAAGGACAACCTCAAGGAGTCATTTCTGTCCTTCCACCATGTGTCTTCCTGGTGCAGAACTCAGTCTTGGTGGCAGATACCCTTATCTACTGAGCCATATAACCAGCCCAATTTGTTAGTTTTTAAGTTTTAAAATTCTAGAATTTATTCTAGAATTTTTTTAGAACTTCTAGAGTTAAATGGTGTGTGCTTTTGGTCTGATTTTTTTTTTTACCAGTTTTAATTCTTTTGAAATCTAACCCTGGTGCACTGCTTCTATCAGCTACCTGGTTTTACTGCGACACTGCATCCTCATGTAGAGAGAGCACTGTATGTCAATCCGTTGCTTTGTGCTTGGTTGCTTCCATGTTGGGACTATTGAGCTAAAGCTACCGATGCCATTAGGTCTCAATTTCATTTCTCTCCTGTAAACACCTAGGAATTCACCAGCTGAGACCATGGATTTTTAAATCAATGTGTTTTTATTTTCTAAACATTTGGAGGTTTTTCAAGATATACTTGCTTGCTTTTTACTTACAGTGTTATCTCATTGTGGCTGGAAAATAAACTTTTTCTAAGTTGAATCCTTCAAAAACACTGAAATTTCGATTTTGTGGACCAGCAGATAGTCTGTCTTGATAAATATCCTTGAGGAATACAATGTCCCACAGATGTAGATGTGGTTGTGTCAGCCAGCTGTGCTTCAGTTCTGTGTCTTTGAAGTTTAGGTTTTACTTAATAGCACAGGCTAGCCTTGAATTTGCTGTCATTCAGCCTCTGTCTCCCAAGTGCTGACCATAGGCTTAGGTCACCGCATCCAGCTGTGGTTTTAGAATATTTTCCTCAGTTAACTTTATAATTGTCTCACATCTAGATCTTTAGGGAGTCCTAAATATTATAAAATATTATACTAGGTGGGCATTCCATTTTATTTTCAGGTAGGAATATAGGTTTCTCAGAAATCTCTAGTAACCTCCTTATTTACCCCTTTGAGGGAAGGTATACATTCTTAAACTCTGAACTTCTCATTCTGTCATATTTATCAGATGTAAGCATATAGATACGAAAGCATTGTATATGTGTCTTTTATGGCTATGGTTTTGATGTGTGCCTTGACATCTGGCACATCAGGTACTCATATGTAATTGTCTCACTTTGCATGGACCTTTATTTGTCTGTATGGTTTTTATAGTGTATTTGTGAAATGTAGCTATATTTTTCTTTCTTTTTCAGGTTTTTTTTTTTTTTTTGAGACAGGGTTTCTCTGTGTAGCTTTGGCTGTCCGGGAACTCGATCTGTAGACGAGGCTGGCCTTGAACTCACAGAGATCCGCCTGCCTCTGCCTCCCTAGTGCTGGGATTATAGTAGTATTCCACCACTGCCCAGTTGCTATAATTTTTATTTGAACTGTGTTGAAACTAGAGATTAGCTGAGGAATAATTAACATTTATATTAGACCCTTCTGTCCTCTGTGGCGATATTGCCATCACCTAAAAAGTTTTCTTCTTTGTCTTTCACTAAAATTTTTAACACTTTATCTAACAAGGCCCTGTTTAATAAACAAAATTTCTAGTAGTTTCTAGATTCCAAATAATTTTTATTGAATTTGTATGTGGAAATCTTGTTCCCCTCTTATTCACTCAAATGAATTGATGATTTTTATTGGTTCTTTAAAATATGACTATGAGCTGCCTGTGGTATCATATCTTTAATCCCAGCAGTTGGGAGGCAGGGGCAGGTAGATCTCTGAGTTAGAGGTGGATCTATAGGGTGAGTTCTAGGGCAGCCAGGACTATACAGAGAAACCCTGTCTTGAAAAACCAATCAACCAATAAACAAACAAACATATGACTGATATCATCCATCAACAAACATAGTTCATCTTTTCCCCTCCCAATGCTCATGTCACAATATCTTTTTTAAATGTTTTGCTTTATTTTTTAATAATTTATTTTATGTGCATTGGTATGAAGTTGTCAGATCCCCTGGAACTGGAGTTAGACAGTTGTGAGCTGGGAATTGAACCTAGGTCTTCTGGAAGAGCAGCCAGTGTTCTTAACCACTGAACCATCTCCCCAGCCCCGTTTTTCTTTATTTTTAATAATATAAGTGCATGTGTGTCTGGGTCAGGAGTTTGTGCATGTGAGTGCAAGACCTTGTGGAGGTATGTGATTCCCCTGGAGCAAGAGTTCTCAGGGCTGTGAGGCACCTGATGGGGGTGCTAGGAGCCAAGCTCAGCCCCTTTTGGAGCTTGTGCTTCAAGCCCCTCAGCCACCTTTCCAACCCCCACATTATCTTTTTCTACCTCTAGTGTTGTCACAATTTCCCCTTTTCTCTTTAAATTTTCATCTTTCATTACGCTGCGATTCCTGGTATAATTTTCCAGCTTTCCTATCTTGTGTTTCTGAAGTTACTGGTTTTTGCTATTTTCCTCTGAAAAATTACCAAGAGTTTTTTGTTATTGTTGTTATTCAGGGGCCAAACCCAGGAGCTTCCACCAGCTGAGTCCTCATCCCAACGCCAGGATGCACCCCCAGTCCCAAGGTTCTTTTTGTTGTTTTACTTTTTATTGTTTGTGTCAACATCTTTTCGTTTCTTTGATGTGGTCTCTTTTTTTCCCCCTCTCTTCAAAGCTGCAAGTATTTTATGGGTGTGCATTTCCTTCTCTCGCCTTTAACTCTCCAAGTTCATGTCATTCAGTTCGTTGTCTGCCTCTGTAAATTGTTGTTCTGTGCTCACTTCCTGCTGAGCTCTGATGGAAAAGGGGCCCTGTCCCTTGAGGGCCTTCCTGTTGTCTGTGACGTACCTTTCTTCTCCTGTGAGTTCTTGAGGTGGTGGACCTAACAAGTGACTTCTGTGACTGTGCTGTGTGACATCACCGTGCCTGGGACTGCAGGAATTGGGGTCAAAGAGGTGGGAGGCATTTATAGTCTTGAGCTGTTGATTTTTTGTACATCTTCTCTCCTATACCCTTTCAATGCCGGAAAGAGGAAGCTCAGTTGAATCAAAATCTAATCTGTTTAGGACCAAGCACTGTGTTGTCCAGTCTGGATGAGTTTATTGAAGAAACGTCTAAGCCACACTCTGAGTCACAAGAACCAATAATGACTTTACAACCTTTGGAGCCTCCTCTTACCCAGAAATCATCCAACTTGCTATTAAAAGAGGAAACTTCGAAAAAAGGTAAGAAGAAGTCAGTATTTCCACTGGAAAGAGGGCTGTAAACAAGCCAGACAGAGCACCAAGACTAGGATTATGGTTGTGGGGCTCCTGATGTGTTTGAAGTTACACTGACCCCACTTCTTCACATTAGTCTCAGATCTGAAATTCAAACTCCGTGCTGGGACTCCTTTGATAAGTATGGATTTTAATTTTGTTCCTACAAGTATTTGACAGAACTGTAATTTTCCAATGAGGCTTCATTTTCAGAATATCTGTAAATTGTGTTTCAAACCCAAGGCGGTCTGAATACTTCTTTAATTAATTGGTTAAGTGTGTGTGTGTGTGTGTGTGTGTGTGTGTGTGTGTGTAAGAGAGAGAGAGAGAGAGAGAGAGAGAGAGAGAGAGAGAGAGAGAGAGCACACAAACGTGGAGAGCAGAGGCCAACACCAGGTGTCTGGCCTATGTCCCTGTCCACATTGTTTTCTGAGACAAGATCTCATTGTTTCAGCTGTCCTGGCTGGCCAGTGAGTGCAGCTTGGTTTTGTGTTACCAGTGGGGTTCCAGTGACATGCCTGCTCCTGGCTTTCTTGGTGGGTGAAGGAAGTCAGAACTCAGGCCTGACTGTTGGATCCATCTCTCCAGGCCCTTTTGAATGTCCTCTAAAGCCCTTTCATTCGGTTGTGACTTGCCTTTAGAAACACTCATACATTTGCCTTGATGACCTTTAAGTCTGCTTTCTGCATCATAAAGAAATAGTCCATTGCTTCCCAGATTCTGAGCTCAGAATATGATTCTCTGTATATTCTCCAGTATTAATATGTGTGAGCTTCTTGCATTTCCTATTTGCATCTGGTCTTCTATCCTGTAAATCTATTTCCAGAAACATCAAAAGGTCTAGATTCATCAGCCTTTTTGCATTCTTCCCCTTATGCTACTTCCCAAGCCCCTGCCACAATCTTCATGGAGACCATTCGCTTCTTGATGAAGGTCAATGCGGTGCAGGTGAGAATGCTTGGGAATGGGCACATAGATGGATTTTAGTGAGCTATGTATTCCATCAGCAACAGTGTCTTACAAGCTTAACTATGTGTGAAGCAGAAACCAAACATACTTTTTTGCTGCTGAGGATTGATTGAGCTTAGGGCCTCCTACACTTTAAGCACACATTCCACCACTGAGCTCTATTGCTAATTCCTCAAATGTACTTTTAAGGGTATTTCTTAGCCAAATGTAGGGAACATCCAAACACCAGTCGCTCTCTGCAGTTGCTATTAGCAGCTCTCACTGAGAAGTCTGTTCCCCACAGAATGCCAGCAGAACAAAGTCAAACTCTCAAGTTTGACTGTAGCCTGACCTCTTTCCTTTTAAAATATTTTAAATTTACCTATCTATGAGGAGATACATGCATGTGGAGGTCAGAGGACAGCTTGCACAAACCAGTCTTCCCCTCCCGCCATGTGAGTTCTGGGGATCAAACTCAGATATTTTGGCTTGGCAGCAAGCACCTTTACCCACTGAGCATTCTTGTCAGCCCCTGAGCCTTTTCTTTTAGGAATGTATGAGTGTTGGAGGTTCACAGGCACCTGGTTATACCCATTTTACCATCCACGTCCTGAAAACAGATACACAGTGCTATGTGAGAGAGGCTTAAAAATATTAAATTATTTTAATGGTAAAACTAGGTTATAGGTTTGGCAAGATGGTTTAGTGGGTAAAGGGGCTTGCCACCAAGTCTGATGACTTGAGTTTGATCCCTGGAACCAACATGATGGAAGAAAAGAACCGACTCCTGTGTAAGTTACTCCCTTACCTCCACATGAACAATACAGTATGCATGTATCCCTGCCCCCCCCACCCCCCCA